GAGGAAGCTGCATATGTATCTTTCTTACAAAAAATAATTTCTCAGCCGCCCAACTGGCAGTATATGCGTAAAGAATGTCTTTGTCCATACTATGAGAAAAAATAATAATAACAATAGGCACCGACACAAACCAATAAAAATAAAGGGTATAGTACTTATTTGCACCCTCAATTTTTTTTTGGGTGAATATTTTAAAGTAATTATTATCACAATTAATGCCTTTTATTTTTTAAAATTCATAAAAAATCTTAATATTTTAACGATATATAAAGTGCTAATCATGGGAAAAGTTAATAATCATTAAAAAACACAATATATGACACTTAAACAGTAATATAGAAAAGATTTGTTTAATTTATATTTTAAATATATAAATTAAAAATATATTAAATATATATTTTTATCATAAATTTATATTAAAAAATAAAATTTAATTTTTATTTTATTAATTATCTAATTAAATTTATTTAATACTAAAATTAAAATTAATTTGTATAATTTTTTATATATATTTATAATAAAAAATATAATAAAAACACAATTATAACACACAAAATATAAAAAAATCATGTAACGCCAAAAATCCATTGTGAAGCGTTTTTATGAGATGATATTAGGTTAAAACTCCTTTTTGGTCCCTGAACTATTGTATGGACCTCCGATTTGGTCCCTAAACTAAAAAAATTCTTGATTCGGTCTCTATTGTTTATCATTTTTACCCCAATTTGGTCATTCCATTAAAAATTGTGTGACGTGGCCTGTTATTTCACGGTTATCAAATGACATGTCATATAGTAATCCACGTGGAAGATAATATAGCCAAAAAGTGATGATGGGGAAAAAATAATAATATAAAAAAATATTATGAAAAATAAAATTTAAAATTTTTTTTCTTTTTCTTTCTCCTTCTCTTTTCCCTTTCCCTTTCTCCTTCCCCTTTCCCTTCTCTTTCCCCTCGGAACCCAGCAGGCTTGGGTTCCTTCGAACCCACCCAAGTGTTGAGTTCCTTGCGAACCCAGCACGCTTGCCCGGGTTGGGTTCCATGGAACCCGACCCTAGGTTCTGTCAAACCCAGGCATGGGTTCATGGAACCCAGGGGTAGAAAACATAAATATTTTTTCTGTGGGTTTGGTGTTTGATGATGATGTGTTTGATGATGATGAAGAAAGCAAGGCAAGGAAGAGGAATGAAAAAAAAGGGCGTTGTTGGGTTTGATTCAACCTAGGTGCTGGGTTTGTTCAGTGCTGGGTTTGTTTGCTCGAGGAAGAAGATGATGGCAAATTCGTAATTTTGGTGGGTCTCACTTTTGTTGGGGTGGGCAAGGACATGACATATCACGTTGCCATGTCATTTATTTATTCATTTATATAGCTGACGTGTCTCAACTGTTTGACATGTCATTAAATTGTCGTGAAATAACGGTGAGATTTTAACGGAAGGACCAAATCAGGGTAAAAATGATAAACAGTAAGAACTAAATTAGAGATTTTTTTAGTTCAGGGGCCAAATCAAGAGTCCGTACAATAGTTTAGGGACCAAATCAGAGGTCCGTACAATAGTTCAGGGACCAAAAAGGGGTTTTAACCATGATATTAATTTTACACACGTGAATGCTATGTGTGCAGTGGGAGCACTTGGTGGCGGGATTTTTCCCCGCTTGTCCCTGCGTACCAAAAAAAAAAAAACAAAAACAGGGAAATTTAAGAGCTGCGGCACTCCCTTCTCTTCTCATTTTTAAATATAAACCCTAATTGATGGTTTCTGGATTAATTTCAGTTGAAGGACATGGCGCTGAAGTCGTCGGGGGCGTACAGACACTGCACTCCGTGCGTGGCGCAGAGCCAATTCCGGAACCAAGGGGAATCAGACACGGATTCTGACCTGTTCAGGTGGTCGTATCGTCGGACGGGGAGTTCAAGCTCCGGGACCCAGAGGATGTGGGGGAAATAAATGAAGGCGAGGCTGAAGGGGATATCGAGCTCGAGCGGAGAGGCGATGTCGAAATCGATGAGCGGGCGCCGAGCCGAACCTATCGTGTTCGTCGAATAGAGGGAACCTAAGGAATGGGTGGCGCAGGTGGAGCCCGGGGAGCTAATCACGTTCGTTTCGCTTCCGCGTGGCGGCAACAATCTCAAGCGGATTCGCTTCAGGTGCACCTTCATTCCCTGATTTGATCTTTTTTCCATCCTACGATTCTAATAATCAGGCGGTTAGGAGGATTTTAGTATGTTAATCACAAATTTGCTTGACACGTCATTTTCTTAGCGTTTAGGAATTTCTTTTACCTTATACCATCTTTTGCTTTGTTTTTATTTTATTTTGTTTTATTTTTTTATGTGCTAGAGTGAATTAAGGAGTATCTAGACTTAGGATGCCCACTCTAGAGTGGTAAATGCACGTAAATACCATTGTGGTCTGTTTGAAAAATTAGAACGCCTTTTCTTTTTTTTGGTAGAAAATTAGAACGCCTTTTCGATGGCACCAAATTGATGGTTTCTGGATTAGGATTTATATTTAAAAATAAGAAAAGAAGCGATTGCTGTAGGGCTTAAAGTTCCCTGATTTCGGGTTTTTTCAAAAATTTTTTATGGGTATTGGGACAAGTGGGAAAAGTCCTTTTATTTCCTATCAACGGTTTTTTTGGGTGACTCGTAAGAGTTTTTACTTTTTGAATATTGTTATAAGTGATAAATTTAAATTTTTATTGAAAAAAAAAATTTAAAATTACTTTTAAAGATAAAAAAAATGAGTAAAAAAAAAGTAAAAAAGGAAATTTATGAAAAGTTTGAATTTGAAACTTTTGAGTTTTTACTGTTTGAGATTATTTTAAGATTAAAAAAAAATTTAAAAATATAAATTTTAAAAAAAA